CACTTTCTTTTTTTTTTTTTTTTTTTTTTTTTTTTTTTTTTTTTTTTTTTTTTTTTGGTTTTTCTCCGGTACCGGGAACCGAACTCACGACCTTGCGCTTGCCAGGCAGGCGCTTTTGCCGCTGAGCTAAATCCCCAGCCCCAACGTGGGCACTTTCTAAGGTGGTCCATGAAAAAGTCTTTAGGATTTCAAAGTACCATGCTCAAACGGTTAGATTCAAACTCTTTATTTTCTAATATATAGGATGTTCTATATTTTGTATGTTACAAAGTAAAGAGATTTGTGGAGCCCCAGAAAAGAGTTAAAGAAAAAAAACCATTCATGATGATGGTTTAAAAAAGTAAGCGGGGGCTACAATAATAGGGTTTTGTAGAAGAGAAGAGATACTGGGCTCAGCTCTGAATATGACAGAAAAAAGTTCAGATTTATAATCAAGGAGACAGATGAGGGTTAGGGGACAGAAAACTACTTAGCAGAAGAGTGATTCTTTGCTAGGCTCTCCCAACAGGATATTTTCTGAATGCAGGCCACCATGATAAGATATCAAAGGCGATCAGACCAAGGGTAGAGGAATTTTGCTATAATCTTTCCTATAACTGGAGTAATTGGAACAAGGTCAGAACCTAGTGTCCAGCTCAGTCATAAAGAGGACTCGGGGGACTTTAACAAAATTTGTGCTGAGAATAGAATCTTCGTCAGAAGAAAGCAGGCATTATTTTGGAATCCTCAAGTGACAAGAGGTCTTTCTATCTTTGTCCCAGCTCTACAAGGCAGCTGGCACCTTGGAGGATGAGTGTTGACCGAGTTTCAGTATGCACCCCCCAAAGGTGCATTGTCAAAATCTTGGCCCTGAGTTTGGTGGCGCTGGTGTAATCGAAGCTTAAAATGTGAGGTCTAGTGGGAGGGGTTAGATCAGGGAAGCTGCTGCTCTCAGGAGGGATTTGTGCTGATCTCACAGGAGCCTATCTTTATTATCAAGCAGGCATATCTGTGTGCTTGAGTCCTTTTGCATGTAGCCATTTCCCAGCCAAGAGCCCCCCCCAGGTGCCCAGCTAAGAGGACAACTTCATCTGAGATGTTTAACCTCCAAACCTGCCCACCAATCAGAACTCTTTTCTTTCTTAAGTCCTCAGCCTCAGAATTTGTGTGTGTGTGTGTGTGTTTGTATGTGGCAGAAAACAGACCAAGACAAGCCTGTATGAGGATGAATGTGTAGGGCACCAAGACCTGCCATCTTGGGAACAAAGCAGGTCCCATGGCCTGTGGCTGTCACTGCCAGGGGGAGGCCTCACTACAGTCTCATCCAGCAGATTCTGTCTGATGCTGGAAGCTACCATTCAACAGGACTTCGTGGGTACATCAGGCACATCAGACACTGAGGAATAGTGGTTCCACTGTCAAATCACTTCCCATTTTTGGACAGTGAAAAAGTCAACAGACCTTTAAAGAAGAAGATGAGAAGAGCCATGCCAATTTATCAACTCCCTTTCAGTCTCACCCGTGAGGCCAGCACTGGTTGGTTTACCTTGAAGAATCAGCCACAGCTCACCTTGTTTTTATCAAGGTCTGACTGCAGTCATAGTGTACACAAATGGACAGAGAATGCAAAGGGTTAGAGTCATATTTATATGTCAAACTTCTAAACCCTGTACTTTATACACTGGAGAAATCCCAAGGGAATGTTGAAATATTGAATGAATTGGATAGTTGAATGGATAGAATCTAAGAAATGAAGCTTCTTCCTTGGAATAAGGGGATGAAATCTGGAAAAATGGAAAACAACACATACAGAGCAGAACATGGTTTGCTGACCTTTTCTCGTATCTGTTTTCACAAAATTCCAAAGTAAGTTTTTTTCTTGTGTTCCATTTCTAATTAATTAGTTGGGTCTCTCTCAACTGGTACGTTGAGGATGGTCACAAGTAGAACTACTGAAGATGGTCAAATAGTCCAGTGTTGAATTCAGTAGCAACACTTTTACATGTAGTTAACTTTCTTTTCTTCCCCACTATTCTGGTGGATGAGGATGAGCACTGATGCTGCTCTGTACTGGTGGTGGCATTTTCCCAATTCAGATGGGATTAAAAGCAAAAGTGGCCAACAGCAGCTACCTGATGAGGCCAGGAGCTGGAAACACACCTTCGTGGAGAAGGAATTTCTCATCTACTCACCTCTTTTTTCTCCTACTCACCCTTGGATTTACCATTACACAATACAGCAGGAACATCTGCTAAAAACAAAGAAATCTTAGATAACTCTGGTAGCTGCATAAGGGCAAGAATAGCACAAGAAGGTGTCAAGGGTAGAAAAGGAAAAGGAGAGAGGAGAGAGAACTACAGGAAACCAGAGAAAAAGCCATGGCAGAGCACACACCTCACACATGTCCATTTCTCTGACCCCTGTTAAGCAAAGGATGATCACCACTCGTGGTTTTTCATTAACCAATGAGAACACTGAAGACATTCATTTGAAGTCCTTCCTCCAGAGGTCCAATCCAGGGGCATCTTAGAATCTGAGCTCTTCTCCCTACTTCTCAAGGAGTTGATCTCATTAGCTGTGGCATGAAGGAAGGCAAGAAAGGGAACTGCCAGACCTTTGTCAAAAGTGATTGAGCTTTTTCAGGTCCTCCACTGTCCTGAGATCAACCTTCCATAGATGTCATTCAGAGAGCTTGAGAAGAGGACTTGGATGAGACAAATTTTAAATTTTAAATAAGTGAGCCATATCTAAAACCTCAGAAGTTTTTACCTTATGTTCCTTATGATGTTTCAACTGTTACTCTTCCTACAGCCTCAAACTTTGAGTACGCTGTACTCTGGTGAATGTGTTATTACAGAAGATGGTACAGATCTCAAGATACAAAAAGAGGGAAGAGAAGTTACTACTATCACTTAATTTCCTTTAGAGCATTTATTCTTTTCCTTTTCACTTCTTCCAAAAAACAGCCCTATCACAATTAGGATATCATTAGTGGGTATTTTTCCTTCTTGATAGGAAATTTGCCAAAAAAATGAAAATTTAAACAGCTGTGAGTTAAAATGCAGACATGTGTATCTTTTTAAACATGGCCTTGGAGCCGAGGTGGTAGTTACTAGCAATGGTGACTAAATACAAAAGACTTCCGAATCAGACAAACACGGACTTCTCTCCCAAAGTCACTGCTAACGAGACCTATGGGATTTGTTATTTACTCTTGCTGAAGCCAGTGTGTGCACCTTCAAAATGGGTAATATAATACAACATGGCATTTTGTGCAGTACTTCCAAGATATGTGTGTAACTTCTCAGTTTACTGCCTGGCATGGTGAAGCAGTGTAAACTGTGGGCTATTTTTTGATGGATATCAAAAGTCTTTCTTTGACCCATTAATTCACTTCTCATGATCTATTATAAAGAGAAGAAGACATCTAAATAGTTATAACAAATGATTTGTGGAAAAGGTATTCCCGTAGCAGCATAATTAATGAGTAAATCGTTAGTAATGTAGTAGCCCTGGTGGAAGTGTGTGTGATAGTCACTTGGTTTTAGGAGCAGAACACTACCATAAACAAACATGGTTGAGACCTAGGGAAAGAGGTTTTGGATTTGGACCACTAATTTGCTCTAGGACTTGTGCAAAGTCTGCACTAGTACCTAACTCTGCTTCCTCACCACCTCAGTAGAATTAAATTCAGGCTTCCATTCAAGCCAGCATGTTCCCCTACAGAATCTTGCCTGCTTGCATATGGGAAGAAACCTCACAAATGAGCTACCACACTGTGCATAAAAGAAACATTTACAGGAAGCGTGATATGTGTGTGACTATTTGCATAAACTTTCTTCAGTGAACTCACTGCAATGTTGTGGAAGTGAATGCTTGGCATCTAAAGGAGAAGAGATAGAAAATAAGCCATGGTTGGTTGTAGAATTTGCAGTATACATACCTCATAGCTTTCATAATGTAGCACCTATTCACAACTTACATAGTGTTCCAGGCCTTCCCTTTCTCCCTCCACTGGAATCAATCCCACCATGTAGCCCCTCTGAGCTCATAAATCCATTTTTCTAGTTTCCCATGAATTCATAATATTGAAACTTACTCTGCCATTCTCAAAGAAAGCTGGACCCAGTCTCCCTTGACTTATGCATAGAAAATCTATTTAGTATTCTTCTTGGTTCTGTTCTAGATATACCCAGTATTCCCCAGATTTGGTCCTCTCATCCCCTCCCACACTGTGTTCTACAAATGCTCTTATTACATTGATCACATGACCACTATCACTCCACTGCTCCTTTGAATACCTCCTACAGAGCCAGAATGAAAGGGCTTCCAGCTCTACTTCCGCTTTCCTTTCTACATTGCCCTCTCTCATCTTTCCCACAACTCCCACTGTGCAGAATGCAGAGTTCCCTGCCATTTTCCAGCAATGCCATTTTATTTCTCTCCCCAAGCTTTTGTACACAGTGTGCTTTGGTGTAAGAATGTCAACCAGGGCACACTCATTCCTCTTCCATACCATCTTTTTCCATGCAAGCATCACCCCCATGTGAAACCTTTGCTTGTCTAATGATTTCTTTGGCCAAGCTCCTGCAGGAGTTGGTATCTACCTCTCTTTTAGTGCACCCCACACTGTAACAAAATTTTTCTATGTGTATCTCTTTAAAGCTATCTCAGAGCATAGCACATAGTTGCCTTGACCTGTGCATTTATGCAGTGAGTGGATGTAATTATTTTCATATCTTGGGTTCCCTAGAAAATGTTGATGTTTCTGTCCCCCTCCCTTCCTAAAGACTCAGATGGCCCTGTTTATAGATAGCATGGTGACTCTTAAAGCTCAAACAGAAAACACTCTTGTGAGTGTGTCTGGGCAAAGCTGACATATGGTTTTTGCCTTAAAGATCTTGCAGCTGAATGTGGAATGATCCTGAAATTAAGGTCAGCTCCAGGTGGTTGTTTATATCAGCTGTCAGATTGTAGAATAAAAAATGGCTTTTATATGTTTGATTTTTATTGTTTTCCAGGGCAATGTCACTTTTTCCTGCTCCGAACCACAGATTGTTCCCATCACATTTGTCAACTCCAGCAGCAGTTATTTGCTGCTGCCCGGCACCCCCCAAATTGATGGGCTCTCGGTGAGCTTCCAGTTTCGAACATGGAACAAGGATGGTCTGCTTCTGTCCACAGAGCTGTCTGAAGGCTCGGGGGACCTGCTGCTGAGCCTGGAAGGTGGAATCCTGAGACTCGTGATCCAGAAAATGACAGAACGCACAGCTGAAATCCTCACAGGTACCATCTGCTGACTCCCTCTGGGACCGTTGCTTTTGATACTTTTTATTTTCCTTTGGGAGGCTTTCTTATTCACTCAAGCAATGATGGTTGAAATTCTGACCAAGTAAACAAAACAAATCAAGCAAACAAACAAGCAAAAAACAACTCCCAGGAAAATTTACTCCAAGTCTGAAGAGCCAGTATTTTTTCCTAATTAGAAAGGAAACAACAGCAATGAATTCAGAATTAGCTAAACTTTGTCAACTCTTAAAATGTCTGTGTTTCTCCACAGCCTCATTAGAGAAGTGGGAATAGGAATTCCCACACGGGCACACTCAGCGTGATGGAGATGGTCTAGGGAATGCTTTGGTGGGTCCTATCTGGAAACAGCATGGGTCACCTATGGTCTTCACTAGGTTCTCGTAAGGGAGGGGCTCTTTTCTACTTTGGATGAGAAAATGTAGAGTCATGTTAATAGCTTCTAAATAATGTGTTACAAGATGATGCAACTGATCTTCTACTTGTAATCTGTCTGACTTCCAAGTCTATATTTTCCTTTTAAATCATATCATCACAGGATATATACCTGCCCCAAATTCTGTTTCAAATATAAAAATTTGTGAACTTTTAAAATCATTTTTAAATGTGTTTTTAAGATATGAAGTAAATGCTAGTACATATGACACCTTGCCATGCCAAATGGTTTTAAATGACCCCCAAGTGGCTGAGGTTTCAGAAGTCTGAGCGTTGATCACAGTGCAGCTCAAATTCCAATGTGTAGGAAGATAGAACAGGTCTAGGAGCTACCATGCTTTCAGCACTCAGGTTTCCAGCAGGCTGTCCCACTGTGGCATGCTGGGTCCTCTCCCACCTCCTCCTCTGGCTCTCCTCCCACTTTCTCATGTCCTTCAGCAGTGGGCCTGCTTGCTTGACAAGTACTCACTGTCACCAGATTGCTGGCCAGGCCCTGGGCAAGAGGCACAAATCCTACAAAGGATTTCCTTGAATACTTGGTCTGCACTGAATCCCCCTCTGCTGTGCATGCTGAGCCTGCACCCCTCACACATTACACAAGACACTATTCTTTAATTATAAGGTCTTCAGGGGCTGGGGATTTAGCTCAGTGGCAAAAGCACCTGCCTGGCAAGCGCAAGGTCGTGAGTTCGGTTCCCGGTACTGGAGAAAAACAAAACAAAACAAAACAAAACAAAAAAATTATAAGGTCTTCCTTCCCCTATGGGACTATCAGTTTTATAATACGAATACAAGAAAGAAGATTAAGTTAAACATTAAAGGCTTTAAATTAGATTAAGATCTGATCAGGCCTTGGGACAACCTCAAATGCCAATGAGGGAGCAAAAGGTCCTGAGAGTACCTCTGCTTCCTGCGCTGTGGCCAGGGATGAACTCTGTAGCTTTGTCTTCCCTGTCTACTGGAGTGTATTCAGTAGCTATAGCTGTAAAACACCCACATTTAGTGGTTGAAAGCAATATTTATTCTGTCTCAATTTCTGTGAGTCAGAAATTCAGAGGCAACTTGGTTGTGGCTCAAGGTTTCATAAGTTTGCAATGAAAGCATTGATCAGAAAGCAATGGGGTGACTTATCACAGGGGGTGACGTCGATGGGGAAAGATCTGCTTGCTAGTGGCTGTCAGCAGGACTCACTTTATCCTGATGGGCTCCTAGCAGAATGCCAAGAGACAGCAGGAACAAGCACACAAGACAGCTGTATTCTTCTTGAAAACTTGGACTGAGAAATGGTGTCATTTCTGCTATGTCATACTCACTAGAAGCATGGAGATAAGTCCAGCCCATGTGGAAGAGGAGGGCTTACACAGGGACATGAATATTACATGTATGAATCATTGGGAATGAGCTTAGAGATTGTCTATCAAGAGAGACAGAGAAAGAGACAGACAGACAGACAGACAGAGGAGCCACAAAAGACTGTGATGACCATTGAATGAGGTACAGCATCTCCAATACCAGCAGAGCTGGTATTGACAAGCTATTTAAAAGTTTCCTTTTCTTCCTACTGAGTCAGGGCCTACAGCTAGAAGGAGGCTCATTCCATGGGGCTGAAAGAGCTAAGGATGAATTTGTACAGTCAGAAGAGTTTTATAAAAATTTATTAGATTTCAGTAATGGAAATGAGTTTCTCACTTAGAATTATAATATTTTTCATGTTCACAGTTATGAAAGTTAAACCTGAATCCTCCTTATTTGGAGAAGAAAAATGTGAGCTGGCACTGGGCTGCTTCTCTCTAATCGTTGAAATGTTTGAGTACAGAGACTTGTAGGCCTCAGGTCAAAAATGCAGTTTTAATGTAGTACAGGCCCTGGTGAGGCATTGCTCTGAAGAATCCAGGTGCTGCCTGTATTATTAAGCACATGTCAGTCCATTAAAACGCATTTATGACTGAAAGAGAGGCTGCTAAAAGCTGCCACTTTACCAAATACGAAAGGGGAAAATCATCAGTTATTTCAGACCTGTCTCTCAAATATTGAAACAAGTAAAGGGAAATTTTAAAAATGTACAGCCTGCATTCCACAAATATGTCTCAGAAAACTCTTACATAATTCTTGCCCTGGGGAAGCTTTCCTGCATTTTGAAAAATTTGAGTTTCTTAATTTATACTTCACATGGATCAAGATTTTGTATTTTCTGGCATTTTTCTACCAGAAAAGGAGGAAACAACAAAAACAACAACAACAAAAAGAACCAGTTTTGCCTTCCCTGCCAATGTTAAAGAAGCTTGTTTTGAAATGATTTGAGATCTTACAGCCTTCATGAAAGACAAAAATCCCATATGAATAATGAAAAATATTGAAGTTATCCCAATAATTTGCGAGGGCCAGCTGGCTCCCCTTGACATGTTTTGTATGACATAAAAACAAATACAGCAATACACTTTATCAGTGTGCCAGAGAATGCAGATTTTCAAACCCTGATTGGTGACTAGCTCGGGTGTTTGTAGTATCCTTGCTCTGAAAGTAGTTACTTCCTGTGGGAAAGAAAGTACAGAGATACCTGGAACCCTCACCGTGCACCTGCCTTTTGGGAGGTGGTTATCGGGGCTTTCTGAGTTAGGGCTGAGGAAGAGACTTGCAAAATAAATATGCATCCTCAAAATAGAAAGTGTCTGCATCCAGCTGTTCTAGGAGATGCAATTTCAGGAAAATAAAGGACAACAGTGTAGTCTTTCACCTGTATATTTGTTTGTTTTCTAGTTTTTTCTTTCCCTTTTTTCAAAGGCACATGTGCATGAGTGGGAGGAAAAACAAAGGCCCCCGTTTCACAGCAAGTGAAGTGAAAGTGGAAATAACACCCAAGGCAGATCCTCTGCTGGTCAGGGCCCGCGCTGGGTCCTTATCTGCACTACCCTCAGGGACACACTCTCAGGAAACTGATGAAGTGGGCATCGTGCTGCCAACCCACACAGAAGGAGCTCGAGAATCACAAATAAATGAAGGGACCTGTGCCGCACACAAGTGAAGGCCTTTCCTTTGAATCCCAATTCATGGTCTTCACATTGTATCGTGTTTCTGCCCAACTCCGTTGTTTACCAGTGTGTAATCATATGGAAAGGGACCCTGCTTTAGATGAAAGATCTACAGACAAATGTGAAGTCAGCTATTAAGACAATACGCTGTTTCAGATCTACCATTTTGCCTTTCCAACATTTTACTCGGTGGCCTCAATCTTGAGTCAGGTGGAAACTGTACAAGATAGGGAGATCATTGTGTTTACAGAGTGCTGAACCACTTTTGCTAAGGGTGCTATCTAATATTAAATAAATCTTACACAGGTACATATCAGCATACACAAATATTCACTGAGTATTATATGTCTGACATGTGGTTTTAAAATATTTTTGACTTTGGTATGGATTCTGCCCAAGGATTACCATATCATCTAAGGTAAGGATTCATCCTCCTCAGGGACATGATGTCTGTGTCAGTAGGGGTCATTCTTCTTCCAAGGACTCTGTCCTGTGCTGCCCAGCCCTCCCCCTTCTGGTCACCCTGAGCACCTCTTCTCATGTGCAAATCCTGCATCTGGAGCAGAAAAGAGAATTCTTTTAAGTGAACCTTGCCATTTGCCCTTTCAGGAGTTGGAAAATCCATTTAGATAAATTTTTTTTAAAAAAATTTTTTGAAACAGGGTCTGACAAAGTAGTTCAGGCTGGCCTTGAACTTACTATGTAGCTTAGGCTGGCTTCAAATTCAGAGGGGTACTCCTGTCTCAGCCTCCTGAGTGCTGGAATTACAGGTATGTGCCATTACGCCCAGTTCATTTAAGTAAATCTTAAATGAACTTTTAAAAAAGCACTTAGACTTCTTACTTTATGCATTTCAGACTCAAAATCACTCTCACAGTGGTCATGTGATCATGAGGATCCTCTGCAGTTACATACTGTACTAAGACTCTTTTTTTTTTTTTTTTTTTGTACTAAGACTCTTAAAAATGTGGAGAATGGAGATCTGAATCTCTAAAAAACCAGGACATATTTAAAGATGACAGAGCCCACTAATTTCATTTTCCTAAGGAAGTGATGGAAAAATAGTTTGGACCTTATGTAAAACACGAAATGACCTAAGAAGGAAATTAGCACTGCCATGACTATTTTGAAAGTTATCTGACATATATTTTTATTTTTTTCTGATGGGACAAAGCAAAGCAGAAAGAATATGAAAAAGAAGTGTGGGCCTTCAGTCTAATTTTTATTTATTACAATGCTTTTCTAAATGTTACCTCCTCACTAAACATAGAGTCTGAGCAAAGCTCTAGGATGCAGAACTTGAGTAAGTCTTATTTTACTGAAGCTTACTGTCTTCTTCTGCTGCAGAAGGGGTTGGGGTGGAATCACTTAAGCCCCTTTTCCCCAGCCTGTTAAGTTCTTGAAGGAAAACAGTAGGTGAACTTGACTATTTTCATGGAAATCGTCAAACCAAAGGTTTCTTAATCTTTCTTCCTCTTTCTTTCTTTCTTTTTTTCTTTTTTTCTTTTCTTTTCT